GGGGAGACATTTCCTAAAACAAGGCTGTGCCCGTGACAGCACATGTGCCTCCATGACTGGCCCTCCAGCTCGTGGCCACTGGGCTTTGGTAATTGGAGGTGGGGCATCATTTAGCTTTAGTCCCTAGCAGTTGCCATGACAACATTATTAACAGTAGACTACAGGGGTGGAAGGTTTGCATCAGTATGTGTGTACCAGGTGCACAGGGTTGGTGAAGGGGGTGCAGGAGGGAGCAGCTAGCCCACCACATATTTTCCACCCTGCCCTGGAGACTGGGGTTGGTGGAGCTGAATCTGGAGGAGGAGGGGCACAAGTTTGCAGCCTGGGGCAGGGAAAGAAGTAGGGGCTAGAAATCAGCAGAGACAAATAGGGTCCATATGGCCTGGCTTGGGAGGGTGAGGTGGGCAATGCTAGATGTGCACTGACATTATTGGGCAAAGCTACCACTCCTGCATACGGGGAAACTGAGCCTCAGGAAGCTCAGCTGACTTGCCCAAGACCTACAGTTTGTTAGTGGCAAGGGCACTAGGGCCTCATTCCCACTTCCCACTATGCCCTCGAGGAGGCCAGAAATGCGCACAGTGCAGGAACGAGGAATCCCAGCCGACCTCCAGTGGCAGGGTCAGTGGAAATCTCAAATCTTCCTCCCTGGTTGGGCTCACAAGCCTTCTTTTCTTGCAGCAATAGAGCTGCTCCTTTGGAGCATTTTCCTTTAAGCTGGCTTTGGCATCTTACATACCCTCTGTCCAGTAAGATGAGGCTGCAGCCTCACCACAGCAGGCAAATCTGTGAGCATAAAGGCAGACGCAAGTGTTCTCTCTGAGCTCTGAGTGCGCAGACTGCAGGCATGCAGAGAAACCTTGACAATCTCCCTTCCATTCCCAGGCTCAGTCTCTCCTAGGAGTCTGATTTTTATCTTAGAGGCAGGAATGACCCTTGACTTGCCTTTTCTTCCTCGCTCAGTGTTTCCTGAGCACCGGCAAGCACAGGATTTAGTGCCCAGGAATGTCTGTGCTGACGTGGGAATGCTACGCTCATGGGCAACGATGGGACACTCGAGAATAATTCTTACAGGACAGGCTCTTGGACTGTGTGTCCTGAACTTAGAGCCTAGCCCCTCCCACCCTCACCCACGGAAGATGCCACTATTTGCCCCTTTAGTTAATGTCTTTGTGGAAATTAGTGTGCAGTGGAGGACAAAGTGCTTTTCCTTTTATCTTAGGAATATCACCGTCTTTTAAGATGGGTACGTAATTATGCAGAATTGGAATTCTTTTCCCTAATGCTGTTGTCTTTAAGTCTGCTTGTTAGTTACCAAATCCGTTGATGCCTGTTGGGAAGATCCTTTTGGTCTCTAGCAAGCGCAGAGGGCAGGGAGGCACCTTTTACCTCATCCAGGGATCCTGAGCTGAGGGGGCTGGGCCCCCAGGTCATGTATCACTCAAGTGGGGACAAGGTCACATTGGCTTCTGTCTCCCTTCAACCCTATCCTTGCTCCCAGCGCTTATTATGGAATGCTGGTTGCTATGGCAACGGGTTGGGGTGCTGGTGGGGGACTGAACTGGGCAAGATTTCTAAAGATGTTAAATGCAAAAGGACTTCTGGAAGCTCGCTCCTGTGAGCTTGCTGTGCGTCGTCCAATTCCGCACTGCCAAGGGGTCTGCCAGGAATGTACCTTAAGACTCCCACAAGCTCGATGGGTCTCCACCTCAGCGGAGATGCCATTTACCACTTCAGGGTTGTGTGAGTCGTGTGAGTCGTGTAACTTACACTCTCTTCTCCATCAGCATGGACTTACTATGTTGAATAGCAGTGGTATTGGAGGATAAATCATTTCACATTTCTTTAGAAAAATCAATCAAAATTCTATGTAAGTATATTTTTCCACATTATACTACGGCATATCTGAGATGTTGCAAGCCGTCATAATACCCAGTAGCTGGTAGACTGACCCTATGTGCGGGCCAGTTTAGTGAAGGTTGCAAATGGCAGATGGAATCCGTCAGAGGAATCGGCAAGAGGGCGGCACCAGGGGCAGCCATGGAGTCGGTCTTTTCGCGAGAAGGGGCTCCACAGGCCGAGAGGCAGCCGGGTGTGGAACACCTGCGCTAGAGACTAATTAATACGATGTTTCACCTGCTGTCCCGCTGGGACCTAGTGCTATTTCTCTTTTTGTCTGTCTTATGAAGTATATATACTTAGACTGTTAGAACTGAAAGCAACTTTAGAGCTGATGGAATCCGCCTGTATGGCCAGATCCGTGCAGGAGAAACAGCTGTCGCTATCGTGAGTAGAAAGGGATCCTCTGCAGGAATAATTGGGGGGGGCCAGAGTAGGGAGGATTGGGGGGAGCCTCCTGGAGTGACTCCCAGCCCGATCCTCTGGCCCATTCTGGAAGGAGGCGAACGGGGGCCGCCCTGCAGAGCCTGAGTTAGGAAGTACTGCACAGCTGGAAGCCGGGTCTCAGGGAACGGAGACAGGTGGGGGCCTCCTGCAGTGGCCTGGGTGCTGCCAGGGGGAGTCGGGCTGCTGAGACTGCCTTCACAGCTGCCCTGCAACTCCCTGGAGCTAGCAATGGGGCTGGAGGTGCTCAGCCCAGCTGCCCCCGTGTCCCTCAGCTCTGGGCAGCCAGCGTGTGCCCTAGAACTCTGCCTCCCCTCATGCCCCAACATCTCCAGAAGAGGCAGTGCCCAGCAGCCAAGGGTGATGCCCAAGGGGTGCAGGTATGAGCCACCAGCAGCTGACACCCACGGTGGCTGGGAGGGGTGCCCCAGCCTCTGAAGGGGCCTGGGAGAGGCGCCTCGAGCGCACCCACACTGTGCTTGCCAGCAGAAGGGAAGACCAGCCGCAGTAGCCAAAACATCTCCAGGGCCCCTCTCCACCTTCCTGTATCCCAGCGGCGCATCTCAGTGGGGATGGAATTCCTGCCAGAGCCCTGACTAGGGAGCCTGGGAGGTGGCATCTGTGCAGAAGTCCTGGGCAGAGCCGCCAGGCCAGGTCAGCACAATGCCAAGGGGAACCTGACTTGAGAGAGTCCGTGACTTAGGGGCCCCTCCGGTGGTCCAGAATTAGGGTCCTCAATGTGCAGGTCAGCGCTGGCATCTGAGGTGGTTTCCTCCTGAGACCAGGTAGCGGAGAAGAATCAGATATTTAAGTGAGGATCCTCAATCCCACGACTAATTGGGAAACCATAGAAGCCAAAATGCTCTCAAGTGACTACAAGGGAGGATGCCAGAGGTTCATCACCAACTGCCACAATTTCCAGAAGTTTCTTTAGTCACAGGCAGTGTTGGAGAGGGTCTAGATCATCAGTGATTAGTTACAGTTAAATAATATATAGTTCCTGATGGAACAGGGGCTTTTATTTCTTTAAATCTTATTCTAAATGATGTATTACCCTTGCCTTTCAAATAACAGCAATTCCTAATGGACCAAGGAAAATATTCTTAGCAGTTTAAAGGCAAAAGTTGTATTTTTATTTGAAGAAAGGAACCCCTAAAGGGGCACACATAGGACATGCTTGCACAGGTAGCCCAGGTGAGCGGGGCTGCTTGGAACAGCGAGTTGTAATCAAGTGCGGCCTCATTTCCAGCAGGTGAGCTGCCACGGACCACGGGCTCCCCTGCACTGAGCCTGCGGGTGCCAGCCACCAAAGGAACAGCGAATGTCCGGGTCCATGGGACGCAAGCCCAGTTCGTGTCTGCCCTGTGGGGTGGGGACGCAGGTGGGACAACCAGCCCCTGTTCCGGGATTGGTGTCTTCCCAGTCACACTGGCCTCAGCACGTTTCTTCATGTACAGGTGGCAGGCACAATCCAGGCTCCGTCCCTGTCCCTAGCACCACAGTATGTGAGCTGACCCCTTTCACAAATGAGGAGGAGCCCTGCAGCTGCAGGAGGGGAACCAGCATCATCCCCCAGGTATTCTCTCCCCTTCGTTCCTGCACCTGGAGGGGATAATCCATGGAAGGGAGTTAATGGTACCTTTATTTCTCAAACTGGCTTTGGAAGGATCTCAAAGTCCAATGTAGCCTTCAGATGACTTGATATTTTCCATGAACAGGCTTTTCATAAAGTGTCCACGTGACGGGACAGTAGTGAGAAGTCTGGGGGTCCAAAGCCAGGCTTTCCATTTGAACTCTGTGATTGGCCCAGGTGTTCCTTATCTGTAAAATGGGACCATAATCTCACCTAACAAAAAAATGAGAAGTATTTTTTTAAAAGGGCTTGGGATGATGGCGTTTGTAGTGAAAGAGATGATGTATATCAGAGTTTTGTGACTTGTGCAAAGCCTTGTTGAAACACAAGTTCTTTCTCAAGAATTTTTTTGAAACTCTGTGATATCCATCTTCAGCCGCCTTGTGCACATCCCCAAATAGGGCCATGAGCCTCACAGGTAGAATCATTATAGGTACAACTTAGAAAAAAAAGATGTAGGCTCCTTTTCTTTTCCTTTCCCTGGCAAACAGAGCTATGGTTAGCAGAAAGTTGAGGCAATTTTAATTACTGGTTTTGTGCTTGAAAGGGGAGGTCCTTAGGAGAAGTCTCAATTCAGAAACTTCAAGAAGAAATGGGCGGGCGTGGTGAGGGTGGAGGGGGCAGATTGCATTTCCCGTTTTCCTTTCCGATGATGTTGGAAAACATTGCAGGAAAACCATGGATACCCACGAAAAAATCCCCAAATTCATTCTCTTTGCCACCAGAGGCCCAGCCCAAAAAGTGACGAGGAGAAGTGGTGGATTTTTTTTCGGGAGCTGGGGTTTGCGGGAGTCCAGCTGAGGGCTTGCAGGGTTGAAGACAGCGTTCAGAGGGTGACATCAGCCGGCAGTGGGGCCAGAAGCGACAGAGCACAGAGTCTGGTTTTCATTTACAGTTTGGGTCAGGCCCACGGTGGGGAGGGGGAGCGGAGGGGAGGGGAGGGGAGGAGCTGGAGGAAGCCCTGGCGGCCTGGCGGGGCTCCAGCTAGGCGCTCAATCTTCCACCAAAGGCTGCTTAGTTCTTCTGCTTTCCAGCCTCCCGCAAGGACTGCAAGGGGAGTTTCCTCCTGTGCCCGGAGTCCCCTTTCCTGCAGAAAGCGAAGCAGAAACATGCGTCAGATTCGAACATAATTGAATAGAGAAGCCCCAGGACATACCTTCTTCAGGTCTGCTCAGGGTAAGTGCGATTCCGGGCGTGCTCCTCAGTCTGTGGGCAAGAGGGTCATGCTTTCCATCCGGTGACCGTTCCTGATGCTCCACGTTCACCCTCTTGGAGTGGTTTCTGAGCATGTTTTCCGTTTCTGGAAGGTTCGGCTGCTTTTTCCTTCTCAGTGTGTGGCAACTGAGTTTCCTTAGCTCGGTGAAGGCCGTGGGCTGCCCCAGGGTATCACTGGGCTGCAGTCCTGCGGCCACGGGCTTTCCACGCTCATCCTACGTGCTCCTGACTGCGGAGTTTTTTTTTGATGCTGTCTCCTCCTAAAACTTGAATCTGCTTTGTTAGCAGAAATGTCTTTGCCAGAATTCAACAGCTACCTGTTGAGCAGCTCTTTGGAGAGACTGTCTAGTCCTCCCAGGTTGGGGCATCAGGTGGGTCCTGGTGGGGCAGGACACAGGCTGGGGGACCACATCTGTTGCCTTTGGGATGTTGGGGTGACTTGGGTGCCCAGGCTCAGGGCCAAGTCAAGAGATACTCAGCTATTCCCATCAGGGCTTCCTCTTTTTAGGAACCTGCAATCACTGCTGGAGTCTTTGTCCTCTGGGGCTGCTTAAAGGAGCTGCAGGGGTCAGGAGAGGAGAAGGAATTTGGTGTTCAGGCAGCACGCCCAGTGGATAAGGCAGGGCTCCTGGGGCCGGCCCGTGCTGCCCAGACGTGGTGCGGGTGCCAGACGGGGAGGCCGAAGGCCCTTCACAGCCGGGAGGGTGGGCCCAGGTCCTCTCTGGCCCAGGACGGAAAGTGCCCCCTGACAGCTGCTGGCCTGCTGTGGGGACCTGCCTCAAAGCCTAGAGTATTGGAGAACCAACCGGGATGGAAGTAGGGGTGGGGTCCCTGGGAGGACCCCGTGGACAGCTGAGGAGTGTAAACCAAGTCCAGAATTTCCCAGGCAGCCTGAGGAGCACATTCAGAGGCTGTTCTGGACCCCAGGGGACAAACTGGTCTGAGCCCAGGGAGCGTCCTGGACCCATGGGGAAAGCAGGGGTGTTGACACACACCAGGTGGCCTCTCGGCCGACACACAGCTGCCTCCACATGAGGACCGCAGAGTCTTAGAGCCGGGGGTGCTCGGAGCTCGTGTGGAGGGACTCTCCTCAACCTGGCTGCCTCAGCCTCTCAGGGGACCCATTCTTAATACTTTAAAAACTGAACAGAAAAAGCTTTAAAAGCAAGTACTTTTGACTCCTGAGTTACATTGGAGACCACTTGGCTGAGTTCTTTGCTCCACTAAAGTGAGGGAAGAGATTCTTGCCTGGCAGCCACTGAGGCCTGGTTCCCTGGTTTTAAAGATGCAGAATCGGGCCATGAGATGCTAACTTACTTGCCGAGGCCACGGAACCAGCAGGAGGCTGAGATCTTTACCATTTCAGGAAAGCAGACGGCTGAGCCATGGAGGAGCCTGAGCTAGTTTACATCTGGACGTGGCCTGATTTCTTCCCCCTGCAGACCATGTTCTGTTAGACATGATGCGAACATTGGTTTATGCTCTCGAAGGCTCTGTGGACCAGCAGAGGAGGCGGCAGCAGACATGAGCCGGCCCTTGGGATGGGCCCGGGCTGTGTGATCGGAGCACCTGGGCAGGCCTCCCTCCCTCAGACCACCTCTGGGGAGGGGCCTCCAGGAAGATGGGACCTGCATTTGCTTTGTCCCACTGTGGGCTTGTTGCTGAGGGTGCGGGCGTAGGGTGGGGAGGCGAAGGGCTTTCGTGGGAGTTCAGGGTATAGGAATGGTATGTGGTCTCGACGTGCATTTTGTTGAGGAAGGGGTTTTCACTCACTCAAGGTGTGGTTTTTCTTCCCCACTCAAGGCAGGGAGAGACCATTAAACTGACACTGGGTGGAGGAGGGGATGTGGGCCTCAGCATGGCAGCAGGGTGGCGAGGTGTGGCTGTCCATCCTCTCCCAGTTGGGGAATTCAAGGGTGTGGCACCCCACCTTCCTGGGAGGGGCCGGGGAAGCCTCTAGAAGGCTAGGTAGTCCTTGGCCCGGGGCTGGGTTTTTCCAACACTTAGGAGGGTGTGTGCCCCACTCCACCATGCTGCTGGCCCTTGGGTGATGGGGTATATGGCAATGTCCAAACTGGGGGTCTTAAAGATACCTTTGATATAAGATAAGCATCTTTCAGAATAGGAACTGTCTTGTCTTCTGCACCTCTCTGTCCGTAGTGTTTCCGGCTTCCCCTTCCCATTATGACGCCTTTTGTGATGTGATGGCTCAGAACCTTATACACCATTGATGACAAAGTAGGAAGGAACCCCTCTATTCAGTCAGTGACTGATGACGGATTCGTGGCTCACAGGAGTCTCCCCATCTGACCTTAGTTTTGGGTTAGGGTGCTTACGGATGGATGCCACAGCTTAAAGCCAGCTTGAAACCAGACCTCTGTCCCCTTTGAAGGCGGGTACAGAGTTTTGCCCTTGGGCCTCATTCATCTCCTTGCTCAGAGCACTTAGATAAGTGGACGAAAGCCCTGGGCTTTACCAGTGGTCTGTGTCAGCACCCACTTCTCCGTGAAATTCCACAAACAGGATTTAAAATTCACTGTCAAGCCCCAGATTCTGTCCCATGAGACTGTCTTACAGGCATGCTAATAACTTTAGCCAAAAGTTTTATGTGAAAAATTAGGCTTTGTCAACGTTGTTTTTGGAAGAATCTGAGGGCTTGTTATCTCTCAGAGATGTGCTGCAGGCAGCTCCGTCTGCAGGGGACGCCGTGTGCCGGGCGGCCTTTCCACAGTGACCCACAGGGGCGAACTTTTCCTGGTGTCTTAGCTGCAAAAAGCAGGCAGTAAAAACACACCACTGCTTCACAAATAGTGGACGATTTGAAGGGGACCTGACATTAAGAAAAATCTTATTGGTATCTCCAGCTAAGGATGAAAGCCCCAAATGATTCAAATGTTAAAGCAGGAGAAGGAAGCTTAAGAAGTAAAAAAGTTCCTGCTAGTTCAGATAGCTTTGCACTAGAGAAGGATGGTTTTCTTCATTCTACCATTCTATGTATGGTTTCTCTCTCTCCAGTGTAAAAATTCTGGGCGATAATCCTGCCCTTCAAAGAAAAGATGCTGCTCGGCCCCTCTAAACCCAGAAACAACCAGCTCAATCTCCGGGTGCGGGTACGGCAGCCTGATTTGCAAAGAGGAGTTTTTCCAGTAGTTCAGTATGTTAACTTTTGGAAACATACATTTTAATGCCTTTTAGTCTCACAGGTCTATTTCGGCAAGGAGATGAATTTTGAGTTAGCACATTCGTCCTGGTATGGTCTTTCCTGAAAATGCGGTGTTTTTTTCCCCTCTGGAGGGCAGTGTGTCCCTCCCTCAGAGCTCCAGAACCGTCTCAAGGTGGTGCCCGAGCAACTCAGGGTGGGGTTTCTGGGTCTGTCGGAAGTAGCGCACCTCTCACCAGGGCTCATGGGTAATTTTAGGACCCACCTACAGACTGTTTCAGCTCCTAATCTAAACAAAAATGTGATTTTAGTATGTGAAGTAGATGTAACTTTGGAATTTTTTATTTTTCTATGCTCGCGTAGGAGTAGCAATGACGTGAAATTATGCCTTGAAATGAGACAGTCTGTGCTCTAACATGATTTCATTACAAGGGCATTCACCACTTAAGAGCCTTTAAAGGCAACATTTTACCTGTATCTGCTAAGAAAAGTTTAAATTAACAGGAAGGTAGGTGTCTCAGAATGGAAGCAAGCTTGCATAGTCGCGCAGCGCTCTGTCACTGTGGGATTTTGCATCTTAGAGCTGCCTGTTAAGACGAACTGATCAGGAACTTCAAACTTTTCATTCCCTGCCCCTTGCTGTTTCCTCCTATGAGGCAACTTGTTTGAACCTATTTCAAAAACTTCATGCAAATAATTATGGATGTCCCATTTAAAGTGTTTGTTCCTAAAAAATACATTACTGACTCAGACTTATGATGGCTTGGCTGAGATGCCCACTGTCAGGATCTTGGGTTATAGAGTTCCAACTCAGAGCGAAGAAACCTGCCCTCTACTTGGTCCATGAGTTCTCATATTCATTCAAGCTTGATGAACCCTAATGTGCTCCGTGCATGGAGCTTTGGGGTGGAGGGAGGGGTAAAATGATTAAGGAGTGGTCCTTGTCCTCTGCTTGGCCAATATAGGATTTCTGTTTGGCTGTGTGAAATATCAAAAATTTACTGCCTTGGGGGATGCTTTCTCCAGACTCTTGACGCTTCTAATGAAGAGGTGGGGCCCAGAGAATTGAATTGCTGGTCTGATGTCCCCAGTGCTAGTGGTCAAGCCAAATCAGTGTTTCCTGGGAGCCCCTGCACATGTTCACACCTCCCTCTAGGCAGGTATCTGGTACCAGGAGCATCAAGGGAGCTCAAACCTTCAGAGTGTATTTTTATTTTTTATTTTTTTGAGAGGGCATCTCTCATATTTATTGATCATATGGTTGTTAACAACAATAAAATTCTGTATAGGGGACTCAATGCACAATCATTAATCAACCCCAAGACTAATTCTCAACAGTCTCCAATCTTCTGAAGCATAACGAACAAGTTCTTACATGGTGAACAAATTCTTACACAGTGAATAAGTTCTTAACATGGTGAACAGTACAAGGGCAGTCATCACAGAAACTTTCGGTTTTGATCACGCATCATGAACTATAAACAATCAGGTCAATTATGATTATTCGTTTGATTTTTATACTTGATTTATATGTGAATCCCACATTTCTCCCTTATTATTATTATTATTATTATATATATATTTTTTAATAAAATGCTGAAGTGACAGGTAGATGCAAGATAAAGGTAGAAAACATAGTTTAGTGCTGTAAGAGGGCAAATGTAGATGATCAGGTGTGTGCCTGTAGACTAAGTGTTAATCCAAGCTAGACAAGGGCAGCAAAACATCCACGGATGCAGATTTCTCTCAAAACAGGGGGGGTGAGGTTCTGAGCCTCACCTTCAGAGCGTATTTTTGAGTG